TAAGGTTTCAATATGCCAATATTTTAATCAGCCAATTTGTTCAGACATTCTGTCTGAAACTTTGTGTACAACACATGAAGATAGTGGGAGCATTTAAAAATTTACTCATTTTCACCAAATCAAGATGGAATTTAAAAGAGACATTGACTTGTAGAATACCGAAAACATTACTTTTTCTTACTTGTCATCATCTATTTATCTGACAAATAAACAATTAAACAAACATTTAACAAATAATTCATCATAACTGTCAGCCAATCAGATTGCGACTAAATACGAGTCCGCCAAACCTATAGTCTTGATAAAAACTACTTGTGCATGCAATAGTTTCGTATGAACATAGTTAAGTTAAAAGCTATTAAAATAGATAAGCGCTGAAAATTCTAAAATTACGATATAAAAATACTACGGGTTTGCATTAAACATACAATATATCAAAATACAAATCCTGAAGGATAAATATATCAAGATTAACGCTAACCGTTACATCTAATACATCGTTCAACATTTTTTTACAGTTCTAGTGTACTTCCCACGGATGTCAGGTTCATATATACTGTTAATACATGCTGTGTACATCGTCTGGTTATTGCTCTAATAATATCTAGTGGCTGGCTGTTCAAAAATAGAATACTAGTAAGAAGTGTAGTACCTGATGTTCGTAGTAAACAGGTCACGGAAGCATTGGCAAGACATAAATCCTGATGTGGATATGCAAACTAACTACTATAATCATGATATATACAACTATAAAATGCTCCGCTAGTACAAAATACGTATACCATAATAAAGATAAAAATACACATACAAAATAAATATATACAATTAGAGTTAAACAATCAATCGATTAATTAATTAATTAATTAATTAAATAGATAAATGAACGAATGAATAAATAATCTTAGATAGTTTATATATTTCAAAAATTATCTGATGACAGTGCGAATAGGAAAACCGTGGGCACCTAGAAATATTCTAGGAACTGTTTATGCCAGTCGCCCATGTGAACTGAGTTGGTTGGTTAGATTTGATTACTCTTACCTTTCTGTTATATTTACACAGAAGACACGGTTCGTAATTCCTTGCAGTGAAGTTCAGTGTAATATCAAAAAACCATTATATAAGAAATCCAAAATTTTCAAGAAATTTAAAAAATTTCTAATGAAACATGTTGTAGTTCACTACTAGATATAAAAACGCGTTCTGACAATTTTGATATTTTTTCATTGCTGGGGCCTGTATCTTAATCTGGCCTTTATGGTATTTCCCTTCACTTTATATCTTGTGGCGAGCAGCTCATCACAAGTTGCGCACTGACTGAAAACTGTAGCAGGTTCAGTTGAATAAAAGATTATTTACTGGAATTATTGA